CATGGCCAGCATACTCACTGGACATGTCACCCATTGAGCATGTTTGGGATGCTCTGGATCGGCGTATACGACAGCGTGTTCCAGTTCCTGCCAATATCCAGCAACTTCGCACAGCCATTGAAGAGGAGTGGACCAACATTCCACAGGCCACAATCAACAACCTGATCAGCTCTATGCGAAGGAGATGTGTTGCACTGCGTGAGGCAAATGGTGGTCACACCAGATACTGACTGGTTTTCGGACCCCCCAATACAGTAAAACTGCACATTTTAGAGTGGCCTTTTATTGTGGCCAGCCTAAGGCACACCTGTGCAATAATCATGCTGTCTAATCAGCATCTTGATATGCCACACCTGTGAGGTGGATGGATTATCTCGGCAAAGGAGAAGTGCTCACTAACACAGATTTAGACAGATTTGTGAACAATATTTGAGAGAAATAGGCCTTTTGTGTACATAGAAAAAGTCTTAGATCTTTGAGTTCAACTCATGAAAAATGGGGGCAAAAACAAAAGTGTTGCATTTATAATTTTGTTCAGTCTATGTTAGCTAGAGTGCTAGCAACTTTCTGCACTCACCCGGTACATTCAAAACTGAGGCGATTTCACCCCAGCACTTGTCCTTCTCCTTACAGTTGTGATACATTTTCGACACATTATACAGACAGTTGTGTTACTACAAAACTTCAAGAAGCAGTTTCCTCCGTCTGCACTATCCAATGGAGCCGTACAGCAGCTGTTTTGCGGTTGCTCATTGGCTATTGAGAAAGTACTGACGTAATCCCGATTTAAATCCTAAACATCAAACATGTTTGATATGATCAGGGCGGCCCCGATTTGTGTGCGAGCAGATCGGGAGGTGCAAAATTCGATCGGTGACATTACCAGATAATCCACACCGGACATCGGGACTGTTTGAGGTGCCCGACAAGATTTTTGCTTCGATTCTTGGGAGGGGAATATCGGGGCTAAATCAGGCTAAAAATCCTGTAGTGTGAGCCAGGCTTTACCGGGACAACAGATGTGAATATTAAAATCACGACGCAAAAAATCTGCAAATTCACTCAAAAAAGCATTATTAAACTGAGGGGGTCGATAAATAACAACACACAGAACTTGATTTGCCAATCCATTAGAGACATTTGAGCCTCAAAACTAAACATCAGACGGAATGATGCGGCCGTGGAAAAAGTTTTTAAAAACATTTTTAAAAAAGCCAAATCTCCCCCACGACCAGAGGATTGCGAAGAGTTAAGAAATGAGCAGTTTTGAGGAACAAGTTCAGAGAAAGGACTTACATCCCACTCTTTTGTCCATGTTTTAGTCATAAACAGAAAATCCAGGCTCCGCGAAATAAAGAAGTCATTTAAAATGTCTTATTTACCAGAAATCGCACATTGAGTAATGCAATCCTGAGCGGCTGTCACGAATCCGGTCTATGAACTTCAATTCACTCACCACCAGAGGTCACCCTTCCATTACATTGATTCTCGCACTACACAAACTGTTGCATGTCATCCCGGACTACATATCCCATCATCCATTGCACCGATTGCACACAGCACTGATTGCACACAGCTGTAACCAATCACACCTTCACTATATAACACTCACTCAGATCCCTTTCAAACTGCTGAGTATTGTATGCGCATATCGCTAGTTGTGATAGCTACGTTATGGAGCCTGCTTTAAGTTTCTTAGTCTAGCCTAGTCTTGCCTTGTCTGATTCCTCGTCTTCTGATCATTGCCTGTGTACTTTGGATTACCTCTCTCGTCTAGCCCTGTTTGGATACTGTTTGCCCCTGCCTGGACCTTTGCTTTGTACCTGGATTATCCCTCTAGTCTCGCCCCTGTTGGATTACATTCGCCATCGACTGACCCTCGCTTGTTTACTGGACTGCTCTTGTTTTGTCTTCTATATACCTCTTTGCCATTGCCTGACCCTTGCCTGTTTTGACCACGTGCTTAATAAAGCTTGCAAATGGATCCGTACGTCTCACCTCTTGTTTGCCCCGTAACAGAGGCATTGGATTGCTCCCTGTTTGAGATCCCCTGTTTAGCGGACGCAGAAACTGAGGGTGCATTCCATCCTGGCGAATCCGAGGAAGCAGACAGAACGTAGGCGAGTCGAGGGAGCTGGGAACAATAGGCCGAATCCAACGGCGGCGAAGAGGTACATCCCACACACTCCATGCAGAACAGCAGGTAGAAATAACTATTCCAGCTTTAAGATGAACAGCGGTGCCTCCACGTTTACCACATCTTCGGCGACGTTTCTTGCGGAGAGTGGCAGTAGGCAGCTGGCGTAGTTGCTCCGGAATATTATTCCAGAACGGTGAATAGTGCGAATGAAAGCCGCTTCTTATATTGGTGCCGAAGTTGGTAACTGAAGTCTTAATATCAAGCAGCATCTGTTGATCATATACGAAGGTTGTAGACCACGACTCGATCACGGAAAAGCAGAAAATACTGAGCAAAATCCAAAATAGACTATCTAAATATCTAAATCTTATAATATACCCCTGTATCCTTCAGATATTCCACAACAGCATCCTGTGCATCTTTAACCTGTTGTTCCCTCTTTTGGTTTAATCTAATCCTCTCTTCCCTATACTTCCTACAATGTAACAATATATGTTCTGCATTTTCTGTGATTTTACATTCCATACATTCATCTGATTTACTTTTACCTAACAAAAACAATGTTTTATTTAACCCTGTGTGGTCAAACCTCAGCCTGGTTAGAACTGACTCCTCCCTTCTATTCCTTCCATTCACACCCTGTGCGTTGATAAATTTCTGTATACTATAATATTTCCTTCCACTATTATCCATGTCCCATCTGTCCTGCCATTTCTTCATCATTTCATTTTTAATTATTGCCTTAGCTTCTCCTTTACCAAAGGGAATATTTATAATATCGCTCGCCCTGGTTGATTTCTTTGCTATTTTGTCTGCTTTCTCATTCCCTTTTATATTTACATGAGCAGGTACCCAGCAGAATCTCACATCTATCTGAAGCCTCCGCAATCTAAATAAATTTTGATGGATTTCTAGCATTAAATCTTCTCTATTAGATTTCATGTTTTGAATACTGTAAAGGGCTGCTACAGAGTCAACACAACATACCACTCTATCAGGTTTTACTTCCTCCACCCACTGCAACCCTACAATAATCACCATCATCTCTGCCGTATAAACTGACACTGATCAGGCAATCTTTTCCCAATACTTATACATTCAATGTTGGTATGTATATTCCTATGCCTACCCTATTTTCGTCATCTTTGGATCCATCTGTATAAATATCTAAATAACTGTAAAATTTGCTTTTTATGTATTGACTTGCCATGTGTCCTTTCTCACTCTCTTCCCATTTATCCTTTAGTTCCACTATATTTAAATCTACCTCAGTTTTTGGAAACAACCAAATAGGGAACAGGGACAGTTGTCATAAATGTATACAATAATTAATTATAATATGTATTTTTATACATTTTCATTTGGCTGTTGAATGAATAGTTTTTTTGCCTGTTCTACTGTTTTCATATTGCTAAAAAAAAAAAAACATGCTGCTTAGTGTTAGATTATCACTAATAGCCCAATATCTATTAATATATAACAATTACGAGTATAATTAAATGTGTGTCTAGAAACTTATTTTCATAAACCCATTTAGATAAATATTAACTGCAATAAAAATGTGACAACTAGCCTTATCTTATAAGCCTTATCGGAGGCAAATCGTACCCTCTATGGGCTTTTACGATGTTTCTCTTGATTAGAAATATTAATTCATCTTTGTGATCGTCTTAGCAATGGCGACACATATTAACCAAAGAAAAAAGAGAAAATAAATTTTATTGTGCTCTCTATGCCGACTGCACGATTTTAGCCCGATTTTTCACTCGCCGACAGGTTTTGCGAAATCGCCGACAAATGCCCGAAATCGGAGGCAAATCGGTGCTGGTTCACGCAAGTGACAATCACGCAGTGTGAATTATCTCGAAATATTTGGCATGCTAAATATCTGGAGCTGTCGGCGATTCACAATCACTGTGTGCAATGATTTCTGACTGAAAACTACATCGGCGATGACCTACAGCCAATGAGAGACCAAGATACAGGGCAGAGGGGAGGAGTTATAGACCAGAATATCAGTATTTTTATTTCAAATTTCATTATTATTAGATTTTCTGCATTAAATATCAACTGAACAAATTACAACATTAATTTTGTACAATTATTCTTCCATGTTATTGCTAATACTACCCCACTAAATACTTCCCTCCCTTTTCCCGAGAAAAATATATAAAAAATATATATATAAATAAATACATTTTAATAATAATAATAAAAAAATTTAATGTTTTATGTTTAAAAAAACATAAATAAAAACGGTATGTTTATATATTAATGCTCAGTTTAAGTATCAAGACAGTTAGCCAGCAGATAATCTAAAAAGGGGCGCCACACCTTGTCAAAGGTTTTTAACAAACCAGTGAGTGAATTTTTCCAATTTTATGCAAGTAAACACTTCTTTTAGCCATGTATCAAAGGAAGGGGGTGAGACATGCTTCCACTTTAAAAGGATGAGACGTCTTGCTAGTAAAGTAGTAAAGGCTAAAGCCTTTTGGACCGTTACTGAAAGGTTAACATCTACTGCCAACCCAAAAATGGCCAAAAGTGGATTTGTATCGATATCTATGTCAAAGGCATCTTTCAAAGTTTTAAATATTTTAGTCCAATAATCATATAATTTAGGGCATTCCCACAACATGTGAATGAGGTCTGCTGGTGATTGCTTACACCTATTACATGCATCGCTGACAGAGGGGTATATTTTGGCAAGTCTAGCATTAGTATAGTAAACCCTATGCAGAATCTTACATTGTATAAGCCCATGCCTTGCGCATATAGATGAGGTGTGAGTGAGCTCAAGAATACGGTCCCAGTGTCCATCAGATAACTCAAATCCCAAACTCTCTTCCCAAGCACCTCTGGCCTGATTTGCAGAGCCTGAATTAATATTGTGAATCAGATTATAAATGACAGAAATACAATGTTTTGAGTGTGGTTCAAGCTTTAAGAAGTCATCCAATGGAGATTCAGGGGGACGATTTGGGAATATCAGTATTTTAATAGATATATGATTAATTATATCATTCAGAAACAAGCACAAACATTTGCTTGACCAGCCACAACATCAGCATAACAGTTACTGCAAAATTATTTACCTCCAACTCTCTTTGCAGAACACCCAATTCCTGTTCCCTGCATCTCCCTCCTGCATAATCTGTTTTTCTTTTTCTCCTTGTAGCTGGAAATCAGCTCACAGACAATTTGCATTCTATGTATATATATTTAAAAAAAAATTTTTTTTTTAATAATTCCAGACAGTCTCGCTCGAGAACTCCGGTCTGACGGAGTTATCCTTATCACTTCTCGCGTGTGTTTTGTTGTGAAACGTAGTTTGCGGACCAGACAGAGCTGTCGGCGATTCTTTATATTGTGAAGTCATGCAGTGTGAAACCCCCTGTCGCCGATCCATCGTGCAATGTGAACACAGCAGCAACTGAATGCTACCCCAGATAGTCACGCAGTGTGACAACAACGGCGATCCGACGAGTTTGAAAATCGTGCAGTGTGAACTCGGCATAACGCTCTCTCTCGGTATCGCGAGATTTCATAGTCTTCCTCGCCGTGTGGACGTTAGCGCTGGAAGGTGTGCTCTATGGCGGTGGCTGTTTCAGCGGTAAATGTAATATTTTGTTTAACTTCTCACTTAATATGCATACAGCAATATTTCACGTGCATATATTAATATTTTCGGACAGAGGTTTCATTTAAAAAGTTAGAAGAACAGGGGTATGGCTAACTAGCCTAGCGCACCGAGAGCGGGATTTTCTCTCTGGCCTGCTGCTGCTGCTGCGTGTCTTTTCAAAATCACAGCGATTAAATCATGCTCGACTGACCAAGTCATTTCTAACTGTTAGGATTTGTTTATAATGGTTGTTTTAACGGTGTATTACTACGGTTGTAACCCAAACAAACGCCTGCGCTCACTCGCTTTCTTCATTCGTTACTTGAGCTAGCGTGTTAACCCGTTCACATTGTGCTCCATGAGCTGAATCACCTTCGCTGCTGCACGGCCCACATGAAACTAAACTCTCCAGTTTAATGTGCTTACGGTGTTAAAATTTGTTTGCATTTACTATTCGCTTTTGAAAAAAAGTGCATTGCAGTGGAACAATCTTTTTGAGTGTCGAATTGAGTATCTTTAGACCCAACATTACATAAGGCCTAATGGCCGGTGAGAACGTATGGGACACATTCATACTTCATTGAATGCTGCCTTTTTGACCTCATAGTCAGTGTGGTTAATTGATGTTAACATTAACTAGGTAATGAGTTTGTAGTAAATCAGAGCAGGCCCATAAATGGTTAATTTAGAGTCCATAGTTGTCCTAACTAGTCTGTTTACAGATATCTCAAAACCCATGCTATTATAAGTAGGGTGAAAAACATTTAAGTTCACCCTTTTAACTTGGGAAATGGACGCAGTGTACATGAGTTTACTGAAACCTCTCTCTTTCCTTATAGACTCTGTATTGAACTGTAAAAGCTCCCCATATATAATCTCACAAGACACCCCAGCGGAGAGCAGGTGCTAGGTAAGGGGCCTATCCACTGCTCACCCTGAGACCACTCTTACCCTTTGATATGATAGGGGTTTGCAAAGAACTTTGAATGAGTCTGATTGCTTTTCAGTTATTGGAGTATTACACATATTTGATAAACAACAGGTTGCATCAGGCAACCTGTACTTCCTTTCTGTGTCGTTCAAGTGTCACCAGTGTATGTATAATAAAGTCTTACAGCTGTTATGGAATGAAAAATTAAGTTTTAGTCATTACAACAAAAACATGTTTTTATTGTTGTTGGTCGTTATTTGTCATCCAGGCCAGTCATACCATACTGGTAGCTCAAGTACTGTAATTTTTGTATGAGTTTAAAGGGTTAGTTCACCCAAAAATAAAAATGTTGGCATTAATTTACTTGCACTCACGTCGTTCCAAACACGTAAGACTGTCGTTCATCTAAGGAACACAAATTAAGATCAGGTCAGAGCTAGTGGTCGGCCGATATATCATTTCACAATATTAAATAAAAACTGATGAAAATGTGCACTGTTTATCGCACTAGTGTACTTTAATGTTTAATCAGGGAGTTTGCTTTTAAATGCTTTTATTTTGTACAAAATGGCACAAAGTCACACTTGTGCTGTTCCCGGTCAAAAATGTCCCGCCATTCAAAGTGAAAGAATGAAAGTAATAGAAACTATTAGTGTTCAGGAGCATGTTGATCATGTTCACGTTCACATATGTACGTTTGCTTGCAAACATAAAGGCCTTGGACCTGTTCATGTTTGGCTGCGTGCATACTCACGCTAACACACACACACTTATACAAACTATTGGGAGTATTACAAGTTTTCTATTTCATCCTCCCCTGAACTGCATTCAATATATTTTCATCAATCTGATAGTATAACCTCTCTCTCTCTCTCTCTCTCTCTCTCTCTCTCTCTCTCTCTCTCTCTCTCTCTCTCTCTCTCTCTCTCTCTCTCTCTCTCTCTCTCTCTCTCTCTCTCTCTCTCTCTCTCTCTCTCTCTCTCTCTCTCTCTCTCTCTCTCTCTCTCTCTCTCTCTCTCTCTCTCTCTCTCTCTCTCTCTCTCTCTCTCTCTCTCTCTCTCTCTCTCTCTCTCTCTCTCTCTCTCTCTCTCTCTCTCTCTCTCTCTCTCTCTCTCTCTCTCTCTCTCTCTCTCTCTCTCTCTCTCTCTCTCTCTCTCTCTCTCTCTCTCTCTCTCTCTCTCTCTCTCTCACGCACACACGAGAGAACTGGCTTCACCCTGCTTCAAAATAATCTTTCTTTCATCACACCTTCTAGACAAAATATTATTACAATAGGTTTTGAGGCTTTCATGTTCTCGCAAAGCAGACAAAAGTTTACTAATAAATGCTTTAGCACAAAGACAGAGCGTATAAATATTGTTGAACCATGAAATGTTCTCGATATGGCAGTGCTGTTTTTCATGTCACAATGGTCAGATTTGTTGTTGCATGACATTGTCTCTGTATGACAGTGTCAGTGTTATTTTTGTGACAGTATAAATATTGGTTTGTTGTTCCATGAAATGTTCTCTATATAAGAAACTTAAAGGGATAGTTCACCCAAAAATGAAAATTCTGTCATTAATTACTCACCCTCATGTCGTTCCAAATCCGTAAGACCTCCGTTCATCTTCAGAACACAAATTAAGATATTTTTGATGCATTCCGAGAGCTCTCTGACCCTCCCATAGACAGCAAGGGTACTACCCCGATCAAGGTGCAGATACATAGCAAGGAGATCGGTAAAATAATTAATGTGACATCAGGGGTTCAACCGTAATATTACGAAGCTTCGAGAATACATTTTGTATGCAAAGAAAACAAATAACGACTTTATTCAACGTGGAATAAAGTAATGCGGAGGAGACAAATTGTTGAATAAAGTCGTTATTTTTGTTTTCTTTTGCGTACAAAAAGTATTCTCGAAGCTTCGTAATATTACGGTTGAACCCCATCAAGAATTGGCATCTTTCAAATCATCTCAGATCTATTAAGCAAGGTATGAAGAACGGACCCCAGGAATGATAACTAAAACAATAACTATATAAGCATCCACACCTATGGACAAAAATGTTTTGTTTAATTGTAAGCATGAATTTTGATTGGCTGGTAATGTTTTTATTGTTTGGTCAAAAAAAAAAAGATTTTTTTTTTTTTCAAATACTGTTTCTCATTTTTTTTGTAGTTGTAGTGTGTCCCTGTTGTCATGCAATTAGAACAGTTATTGAAGTTTTATAGTTATCCTTACTGTGAATGGGCCGTAAGTCACAATTTTCATTATTTGGGTGAACTGTCCCTTTAAGGATCATTGCCACAGAACTTGTGTACAAAATATGTTGCCTTAAGGTTTGTCACCCAGGGCTTCATGTCCTAAACATTAGGGCTGCACAATTATGACAAAAATCATAATTGTCGATTATTCCTTTGAAATTGTAATTGCATTTATTAATTACGATTAAATGAATGATGTTTACACCTTTGTTTGAAGCAATTGCATGCCATATTTTTATATGAAAATAAACAAGCTGAAAACACTAACTGAAAAACATTTGCTTTTCTATAGTATTAAGCCTCAAATGCGAGTGAGAAATTTAAGAGGGTCTGAATACTTTCCGTACCCACTGTACATTTGATTGGTTTCTTCTTTAAAATAAAAAGGTAAAAATATGCATGGTATTACAGGGATCAACTCTAAGGATTTTTTTTTTACTGGCCCAGTCGGGCCAGTGGTTCAAATTTTTACTTGTCGTGCCAACATTTTCATAGTTGCTGTTATCATTATTTTTGATCTACGTTATCTTGTTTTCTAATAAGCTTATATGACACCAATATTTTAGATGCCAATAAAATTGTACAATTCTCTATTTCAATTTCGATACCACAGCAAAAATCACTAGCCAAAATAAATATAAAGTTTAAACATTATTAAAGACAAGTGACAGTCAGTAAATAAAAACAAATGAACAAATTACAGGTAATAGCACAATTAAATATAGACCTATAGCTAGGGCTGGGCAAAAAATCGATTGCGATTTTCATGTGAATCTCGTCAGTAAAGCCGCTTCTGGGGATTAGTAGTAAATCTCCAGCACGTGCTTTCAGATGGAGCGGCATTTACTACACAGAGCCATAGTTCACTGACAAGCTACTCAAAATCGCAGGCGATTCATTGACGATTTTGCTGATTTTCAATTCGATTTTGTGTAGCTTGTCAGTGAACTATGGCTCTGTGTAATAAATGCCGCTCCATCTGGAAGCACGTGCTGGAGATTTACTACTAATCACCAGAAGCGGCTTTACTGACGAGATGCACATGAAAATCGCATTCGATCTTTTGCCCAGCCCTAGCTATAGCACAAAGATAGAAATGAAATGGTGCTTTAGGTTTTTATGTTTGTAGATGTTCAGTTACAGAAATTGAAAAATCGCGCACAAAATAACATTTGCATATTCTTCACTCTGTGTTGCACCTTGATTTTTCATAGCCATTTGAAATTAGAGGCAGCCACTGCATTTTAATCGTGAATTGATCCAAAAAAAAAAAAGACACGTGCAATGTTTGATTTATATTAGACTGTATAATTTAAAAATCTGAAGCAAAAACAAAATGACCTGACTTTAGCTTTGTGAAATTATGCTACATAAAACATCTGGATGCATGACACAGAAACTTATAGAACAACTCTGTGGTTACCGCTGTAAACAGAGCAGGGCTGCGCGTATTAACACTAATTTAAATGCATTATACGGAGGCAAGATGAAAAGAAGGCACACTTTTCTGAAAACACATTAATATAAAATTCAATATTAGGATTTTCTTTCTATATTTCACGCATAGTGAACAGCCATCTTGTTCTGCCTGCTACAGTATTTTCTCCTTTTTAAAACAGTGGAAAAACCCTTAAGATAACATGTACAAAGAAAAAAAGCATCTTAAGCATGCAGAATTAACATAAGTGGACTTTGAACAATTAATTGCTGGCATCCGTAATTGTAATCGCATCACTCTAAGGGTATATGGTCCTTCAATGACCGACAGAATCAAATATCTCAGTGTTTCCACTGAGGAGAGAAGTCACCATGTGGTACGAATGCATGGTTCCCCTTACAATATTGTGAGAAGTAGGGCTGGGCAAAAAAATCGAATGCAATTTTCATGAGAATCTTGTCAGTAAAGCCATTTCTGGTGATTAGTTGTAAAAGCACGTGCTTTCAGATGGAGTGGCATTTACTACACAGAGCCGTAGATCACTGACAAGCTACACAAAATCACGTTCAAAATCGCAGGCGATTCCTTGCCGACTTTGAACGTGATTTTGTGTAGCTTGTCAGTGAACTACGGCTCTGTGTAGTAAATGCCGCTCCATCTGAAAGCCCGTGCTGGAGATTTACTACTAATCACCAGAAGCGGCTTTACGGACGATATGCGCATGAAAATCGCATTCGATTTTTTTCACAATCCTAGTGAGAAGCCTGTTAATTAAATGTATACCGAAGGCTCATTATCAACGGCTTTTCAGTTCAGTGTAAAATGTCTTTAACAAAGCCCTACGCTAAACTGAAGTTGTCCAACGTGCTGAAATGTAGAAAGCTGTTTTAGAGCAAGCTCAAAATTATCTAGAATCATTTGCAGACATGTAAATATGAGAACTTGTTTCCATATGCTTTTATATTTTTATGCATTTGTAAAAAACAATTTAAATGGTAAAAGATTCACGTAAGATGCATAATTTATGCTATACTATGTTCAATAGAAATATTGTCCAGATGTATTGTATGACCGATGTAATTTGAGTTTGCTCTTGAACTAGATGGTTTTAAAGCTGTAAGTTGTCCAGCGTGTATTGCAGTCCAGTGTGTGTCTAGATGTGCAGTTTCCCTGCAGCTCACGTTCATCAGGTCTAACAGATGCCTGTGCTCTGTGCAGGGAGGCGAGGCTCTGATGATGGAGAATGGACAGAGCACGGCCTCGAAGCTCGGCCTGCCGCCCCTTACCCCGGAACAGCAGGAGGCGCTACAGAAGGTGAAACTTTCCCCAGACACTGCTTCTGCATATGGGTACTGAAATCAGTGATATTGATGCGTGACGTGACTTTACCATGCTCAATAACAGTTATACACAAGTGTATCAGAGAGAGGCTTTCATTTATAGTTTTGAGATCTTTTTCATACCCTCTAGCTTTACAAGCATATGTTTGCTCAGTGCACATGTAAGCAAGCAGTGGACAAGAACAGAACCAGTGCTATGCCTTCGGTGCTAGTGGCATCTGATTATCTGCTAGTACTATTCTCAATAGCTGGGACACTATTTAAAGTGGATGATTATTCTCATTTAACATTTGTGAATTTTAGCAGATTTGTGAAATATCATATGTGACATAACATTTTAGAGATGTTCACCGTGTTCCAAATTATTATGCAAGTAACATATCAGTAGGATTTCATTGAAATAAATATTCAGGTTTTAGTGTTTGTTTGTTTTATTTCTCATGTTTTAAGATAACTGGTATCAATCTTAGACAGGTTAGTTAATTAGTTTGCCAGGTGATCTTAGTTAAAGGGAAACCTACTTAAAGAGGTTGTTCCACATTATTAAGTAAGTCACAGTTCTCATGAAATATGGGGAGGAAGAAAGATCTTTCTAAAGAAGAAAAGCGTGAAGTAGTACAATGTCTTGTAAAAGGCATGAAAACAATTGATATATCGCGAAAACTAAAAAGAGATCGTCGAACTGTCAAAAGATTTGTGAGTGATTCACAGCACAGAAGAATTCGATCAGATAAAGGCTTAAGAAAGGTTTCTGTCAGACAAATTAATGTTATTAAAAGTAGTGGTCAACCGATAAATCGCCAAGGCCGATGTATCAGCCGATATTTGGCATTTTTCAAATATCAGCATTGGCCGATACGTTTTTCTGTTTGGCCGATGCGTTCGAGGTGGGACTTTTATTTTGACAGCGCTGAGAGCGACAGCACATTCTCCCTCTTGTTCGCCATCGTCGTTAACAGTTCTGTCTAATACAGATAGAAGTCTGTCTAATAATCAGATAGAAAGGAAATTAAAATGTATACAAAGTATTGTATTATTAGTAATAGAAAGGCAAGCATAATACTTTCTCGTTTGCCGTCAACATTCAGCAAATACGCATTTATATCATTTAAACAAATCTTTGAATGAATAATGAACATTTAATTTCACAAACCTTGCAAACTTAGTCGAATCCAGCTGTGAGATCGTGTGAAGTGTGCATTTGTATCCTGCATGATCGCGTGTTCTCTGCTTGACGGTCAGTCTGTGCGAATTGAATGTGGACTGGAGGAGAGTTCTGCTTCACTGAAGACACGCGATCGTTTGTATTAAATATTTATTTATTTGTGAAAAATACTTTGTCATCTTAAGTTTAAGTATGTTTATTTTACACTTATTTTTTAATCTATTTTCAAATGATTTCAAATTTCTTGAATATTAATTAAAATAGATACAATTATATCTGCTTTTTATCGGCCATCGGTCACCCTGCTTTCCAAGATATCGGCATCGGCTGTCAAAAAACACATATCTGTCGACCACTAATTAAAAGGGCAGCTATAAAAAATCCTCTGTTCAGCAGCAAACTGGTATTTGAAGCTGCTGGCATCTCTGGAGTCCCAAGAACAAGAACCTCTCAATGCAGGATCCTTCAGAAGCTTGCAGTTGTGCATAAAGCTGCATTTCGACCACCCCTAACCAAAACTTGCAAAGAGAAACCTTTGCAATGGGCTCAGAATTACATGAAGACTAAACAGTTTTATTCACTGACGAATGCCATGCTACACTTTATGGTCCAGATGGATGGAGTTCTGGATGATTGGTGAATGGCCACCCTGTTCCAACAAGACCGAGATGTCAGCAAGGAGGTGGTGGAGTGATGATTTGGGCTGGAATATTGGGAAGTGAGATGGTAGGTCCCTTTAGGGTCCCTGACAGTGTCAAAATGACCTCTGAAAGATATGTGGAGTTCCTAACAGACCATTTTCTGCTATGGTATAGAAAGAAGGATTGTGCCTTGAGAAATAAAATGATTTTCATGCAGGACAACACACCATCCCATGCTGCAAAAAACACCATTGATTCCTTGATTGCTATGGGCATAAAAAGAGAAAAAATCATGGTGTGGCCATCATTATCCCCTGACCTCAATCCTATTGAGAACCTGTGCAGCATCCTTAAAATGAAGATCTATGAGGGTGGGCGGCAGTATACCTCAAAACAACAGCTCTGGGAGGCAATACTGGCATCCTCAAATGAAATACTGCCAGAAACTATACATGGACTTTCAAGTTCAATGGATGAGACAATTGTTAAAGTCATCTCCAAGAAGGGTGCGTGTATTATGTAACTTAAACTGTAAATAGGTTTTTTGTTTTAAATAGTTTATTTTTGGAAAAATTATCTGTCCATGTTGCGCACATGACCGATTTCTGTTTTGAGTTCATTATAACCTTTTAAATGTTTACAAACTGCTTTCTGCATAATTATTTGGAACAACATATTTATTTATTTATTTTTCAAAATATCAATAAAACTGTTGACATCAGTTCTTTCACATGTAATAACATTCTAATTGTAAAATAATAGTTGAGGATAAAATTAATCCCTAATCATACTGACTGGTTTGGAAAAACAAACAAAAATGGCATGTGCATAATAATTTGGAATACAGTGTATGTTGGTTTACCTGAAGCAGGGCTTAACGTTAAGCCTTGACGTGCTTGTCTTTTGGACAAGTAAATCAGTCATTCATCGTGTCCAAGTTAAAAAAAAGTTTTTTTTTTTTTTTTGTGATGTAAATGTAATTTATTCTGAATCAATATTATTAACTGTGTTCTGTTAGCTTTTACTTAAATGAGCATATTTGTGATATTTGCCATCTTCATTTAAGTTCCCAGGGAATTATTTTGCTTTTATAAATGGTAATTTTATCCTAAACTTATTCAAAGTGTGCGTCATTTTTTCATGTAAAATTCTGAACTTTTATCAATAAATTTAATTCGAATAAGACACAATAGTGCTGTTACTAGGGATGGGTACCAAGAACCGGTATTTTTTTGGACCGGTACATAATTGGGTCAATACCGGAGTACCGATAAGCTTCAGGACAAACGATACTGTTATCGATACTTGCGTTGTTTTATCTCCGTATACGTCGATGTTAACAACGAATTAGAAGCTGCTGCTTGTCATTTTCCTTTTCTCAGTGATGTGGCCGACGTGCGTGTGATATCCATGCGCATATGTGGTGTGTGTTTGCGTGCGATCAGTCATTGCGGCAAGAGTGAAACGTTTGGCTCACATTACAAAACTAAGCAACACCAGTGTCAGATGCAGTAGTGTAATAGTGAACGGAGGCGGCAACACTAGTAATATAATGAAACATTTACTAACAAAACACAACATCTACCTCAAGAAAGGCGCTGAATTATGTATCGCAGCTCCAGCTCTAACTGAAACTCATGAGACACATTCACATCAAATGTTGATTCGGTAGAGTTACTCACACAGGACTTATTCACAGTCACAAAAGTACATTATTTCCACGTGCTTTTAAAGCCTTGCCGGTTAAACGTTTTATTTGCGTGCTGTTCTAACATGTGTTTATTCAGAGCACGTACACCCAAAGCTTGCATACACTAAAAGGCTGGTCAAACAGCACCTGATTGCTTAGTTATCTTAATTATCATCTGATTGTGCTAATACTGTCAAAAACACAAGGTTTACATATAAACACAGTTAATTGTCTAAAGTGAAAGTAAACAGTTGGGAGAAAAACAGATGCGTGCAGCTCTTAAAGCGGCAGTTCTAAACATGCTGCCGCTTGTCATTAAAGGGATAGTTCACCCAAAAATTTTTATTCTGTCATTATTTACTCAGTCATGTTGTACCAAACGTATTAATTTTTATTTAGTCTTGTGCTGAACACAAAAGAAGATATTTTGAAGAATGTGGGTAACCAAACAGTTGCTAGTCCCCACTGACTTTAATAGTAGGAAAAAAATATATGAAAGTCACTGGGGACCAGCAACTGTTTAGTTTCCCACATTCTTCAAAATAACTTATGTTCAACAGAAGAAAGAAACTCATTCAGGTTTAAAACAAGTGAGTAAATGACTCAATTTTCATTTTTGGGTGAACTATTCCTTTCACGTTCATCAGGTCTAACAGATGCCTGTGCTCTGTGCAGGGAGGCGAGGCTCTGATGATGGAGAATGGACAGAGCACGGCCTCGAAGCTCGGCCTGCCGCCCCTTACCCCGGAACAGCAGGAGGCGCTACAGAAGGTGAAACTTTCCCCAGACACTGCTTCTGCATATGGGTACTGAAATCAGTGATATTGATGCGTGACGTGACTTTACCATGCTCAATAACAGTTATACACAAGTGTATCAGAGAGAGGCTTTCATTTATAGTTTTGAGATCTTTTTCATACCCTCTAGCTTTACAAGCATATGTTTGCTCAGTGCACATGTAAGCAAGCAGTGGACAAGAACAGAACCAGTGCTATGCCTTCGGTGCTAGTGGCATCTGATTATCTGCTAGTACTATTCTCAATAGCTGGGACACTATTTAAAGTGGATGATTATTCTCATTTAACATTTGTGAATTTTAGCAGATTTGTGAAATATCATATGTGACATAACATTTTAGAGATGTTCACCGTGTTCCAAATTATTATGCAAGTAACATATCAGTAGGATTTCATTGAAATAAATATTCAGGTTTTAGTGTTTGTTTGTTTTATTTCTCATGTTTTAAGATAACTGGTATCAATCTTAGACAGGTTAGTTAATTAGTTTGCCAGGTGATCTTAGTTAAAGGGAAACCTACTTAAAGAGGTTGTTCCACATTATTAAGTAAGTGACAGTTCTCATGAAATATGGGGCGGCAGAAAGATCTTTCTAAAGAAGAAAAGCGTGAAGTAGTACAATGTCTTGTAAAAGGCATGAAAACAATTGATATATCGCGAAAACTAAAAAGAGATCGTCGAACTGTCAAAAGATTTGTGAGTGATTCACAGCACAGAAGAATTCGATCAGATAAAGGCTTAAGAAAGGTTTCTGTCAGACAAATTAATGTTATTAAAAGTAGTGGTCAACCGATAAATCGCCAAGGCCGATGTATCAGCC